AAAAAAAAAAAAAAAAAGAAAGTTTACTCACTGCCACTTTTGTCTTCTCAGCAGACGTAACAGAGTATCCAGCATGCTGTCCCGACGCCTTGGTAAGCGCTCCCTCTTGGGAGCCCGGGTGTTGGGACCTAGTGCCTCTGAGGTGCCACTGGGGACCAGCCTACCCTTGGAACCACAGATAGAAGTGCCCGAAGGAGCCACGCCCAAGCCCTCACTTACCTCTAAGGACCCTATGTGCCAGGAGCAGCCCAAGGAGGTCCTCAAGGCTCTGGGTACCTCAGGCCCCCCACAGGTGGCCTTTCAGCCCGGACAGAAGGTAGGTTGATCCTAACATGGACGGGTACCCTGTCTCTTGAGTGTTGGGATTGGCAGACTAGCAGTACCTAAGGTGATAGGCTGGAAGTCCTACAGACTGGGGCTCGGCAGAGAATGCACTGTCATTTCAGACCAGGGCATCTCCATGATTGTCCTGTGGAAGAGAAAGTGGCCAGGCATCCTGGGATGCTCAGAACCTCAGATGAAAGCATGGCCTCAACTCAGTGGCCTTTTGTCTGCTTCACTTCACAAATTTAGGCAGCAAGGAGAAGGACCTTAGACTATAGGCGCCAGAGAAGAGATTTGCAGAAGCTGCAGATGGAGGGGTAGTCCAAATCTGATAAGAATTGTTTTGTTTTTGTTTTTGTTTTCCTTGCATCCCCTTGCCATGGCTGGGCTCATGGTCACCTAGACCTGATTCATCACTAGATCCAGATTCATGGGCTCCTGCCATTGCCTTCTCCAGGGTCCATCTACAGACTTGGCCTTTGGCTTCTCATGAGGCTTGGTGCCCCCTAGACCTTTGTCCTCATGAGATAAGGTAGCCTTCCAACTTCCAGGTACCCTGACGAGAGAGCAGTCTGCCTCTCCCTTTCCAGTACGTACTGGGGAGAATGAGACTTAGAACTCTCCAGAAGAAAAGCATTGAGTAAGAGGTGTTTGCAAGTTCAGAGGCAAGGGTGGTGGTGGTGAGTAACTGAAGGATGGATATAGAGTTGGGGTTCAGAGAAACCCCAGTTGCTGGCCTGCTCAGTATCCTCTAGGATGGGAGGTGTGTAGGGAGCTCTAGGAGGAAGATTTGATCCCGTGTGGCTAGCCTGAGTGTTTGGGCGGACAGCAGCAGGTGCCTGGGCATACATGCCTGCTTCTTCTGGCCCGTTTAGGCTGCTATAATGGAATACCCAAGGTGGGGAAATGTATAGACACTAGTGTGTTCTGCTCAAACTTCTGGAAACTGGGAAGTCCGAGAGGAGGATAAAGACAGGAGAGTATGAGGGTCCTCACTCACCCTCCTAACACTTCACACGCTCTCTGCCTGCCCCACTGTCTGGATAATTCTCTCCTGTTAGGACAGGCCATTTGAGAGAGCGGCAGTTCTCATGGCATATTCACACGTACTAGACCCCACTTCCGGACACTGGTCTTGGGGGTTAAGTGTCTAACATGTGAACACCGGGGGTGCCTACCAGATCTCAGCATGTACAGATTAAAGATGAGTGTATCAGAGCACAGACTGCAGCAGATAACCTGATCCCTGGAACTGGGATCCATAAGGGCTTGGGTGTGGAAACTCCCGAGTGTTGACCATTGGCCATCATTCCCCTGCAGGTCTGTGTGTGGTACGGGGGTCAGGAGTGCAAGGGCCTGGTGGAGCAGCACAGCTGGCCTGAGGACAAGGTGACGGTCCGGCTGCTGGACCAGAAGTTACAGGTTTGCTGTAAAGTGGAAGAGGTGTGGCTGGCGGAGCTGCAGGCTCCCACATCCCAGGTGCCAGCCTACAGACCCGTGTCTCGGAACATCGATGTCCCAAAGAGGTTTGTAGGAGTGGCGAGGGTTATAGATATGGGCTGGGATCTGGTGGGAGGAATGTGGGGGTCTTGGATGCCTACTGGCTGGGATGGTGAGGCTAGATACGGAAGGAAGCCTAGGTAACATCCTTTCTTATCCAAAACTCTCTTAGGGGTTACAGCTATTTGGTTTGGTGAAGGTTTAAACTCAGCTCCTAATTTCTCGTGAGAAGAGACAGGAAGAGATGAGACCAAGTGCCAGTGCTGGTTCTGTACAGGGCAGAGAGAAGTGAGTTCAGCCTTGTGGGCCAAGCAGACTCCGTCATTGCTACTTGCTGCGGTAGCTGTGCACATAAAAGCCTGGAGGCACACCGTGCTTCATTGGGAACTAACCAGGGTCCCCAGACTTTAGTGCGATTCGGTATCATTTGTATGTAGCATCTGTCAAGAAGGAAAATGCTTTTGATTCTGAAATAGCATTTAAAAAGATAAAGCCATCCTTTCTTGGCTCAAAACTGGAGACACAGGCGGCGGCGGCCTGTGTCTGAAACAAGCTGGTCTGATTCTTCCCTTGGGTGCTAAGAACCATTGGCTAAAGAATGGATATTCTGATTTGGAGCTCAATGATATGATGTCACCCTGGGACTCTAGATCCCGATGTACACCTTATAGTCTATCTGTATTGTTCTTTTAAGATTTAAAAGGAGAATCTGGAGCTGGGAGCTGGCTCAGTGTGTCTAAAGCACTTTCTCTGCAAGCCCAGCATCCTGAGTTCAGTGCCTGGAACCCATGTAAAGGTGGAAAGAGGAGCCTACTCCACAGAGCTGTTCTCTGACCTCCTCCACGCATGTGCTATGGCATGAGTGTACTAATGCTCACACAGCATGCACAAACATAATAATAATAATAATAATAATAATAATAATAATAATAAATAAAAATTAAAAACAAGAAACTTGACCAGCTGAGATGATTTTGCATGTAAGATATGCAAACGGCTGAACTCTATTCCACCCCCTTTCGTGGGTATGGGGCCTGTTGGTAGACCAGGTGGCATAACATTTTTAAAATTACATTTATTATTGATTATGTATGGGGTATGTGTGCATGCTGTGGTGCACCTGTGGATGCCAGAGGACAGCTTTCAGGAGCCAGTTCTCTTCTGCTCCGTGGGTCCTGCGCACCGACCCCAGCTAGTCAGGCTTGGCAGCAGGCATTTCTACCTACTGAACCACCCTGCTGGCCCAGCAGACCCGTGTTTGCAGACTAGAGGAGCAGCCTTGCTGACCGTGGATCCAGTGAAAGGCCAGAAAAAAATCTTATTTTTCTATTCTGGGGAAGTAAAAACACAAAGATCATGTAAAAGTACTCCTTAATAGGTTGATGGCCTTGGTCCTTCTGCTTCAAACCCAGGTGCACAGTTTGGTAGATCTGGTGACCTGGTGTATAAATAATGGGCGAATACAGTCCTTTGAAATAGGCAGGCCACTGGCAGTTTATTATATTCTAATTTCCCCCAAATACTTTAGATTTCAGATAGTGCATATTTTACTTCCAAACCATATAACTGTATGGATTTAAAGGAGAAAAAAAGCACATGTAAAATTCTCTGCAGCCTGTTGGAGCATGGAGCTTCGCAGTGGGAGGTGGTTTCATCTGGTTATTTCTTTTATCCTGGTTTGTTTGCTCACTGGCTTATGTAATAGGTTCTGTTGACGTTCAGAAGCTAACAGAATGCTGTGTTTATTTTGGCAGAGGGGAGAGAAAAATCCATTAGTGTAATTGTTTCCTCTTAAATTTGAATATAAGGCAGGGGAAGGAGGTAATTTTAGTGTTTAGATTCCAGTGGGCCTCATCATTTGTTCCCATGCTTCAGCTTAGCGTTTTGACTCTTCTCTCTGCTGCCCCCAAATACAATGTTCCATTTGAAGTTGTGGGGTTAGGAGGAGAGTTTGGGGAGAGCCGCTGTCTTCAGGTGTCAGCCCCCCCGTTTTAGCAGGGGCCCCACCTGCTCATGTCCTGGGCTCACTGAAGCACCGCCCGGAAGAAGCACTTCTCACAGACTGTTGCTTTCCTTTTCACGTAGAGCTCCTGCAGGTTGGTGGGGTGGGGGTGGGGGGGGACTCCGGGCGGACAGCACAGCAGTGTAAGGTGAGGTCCCGTGAAAGTAAGCCGATGTGGTAGCTTCATCTTCCCAGCCCGGCCTGGCAAGTAAGCCTACCCCCCCCCCCCCCCCCCCCCCCCGTTTGAATCCAGGAAGTCGGATGCAGTGGAGATGGATGAGATGATGGCCGCAATGGTGCTGACGTCTCTGTCTTGCAGTCCTGTGGTACAGAGTCCTCCTGGGGCCGAGCCCATCTTCTCTGGTGAGCGAGTGGGGTTGGACTGGTTCCTGGCATGGCAGAGGCCCGCGACCGAGGCTCGCTCTCTCAGGGCTATTGATCAGGAGCTCAGTTTCCTCCTCTGAGCAGAAACTCCTTGGTGCTCTGTGGCAGTGATTGGACTCAGCGCCTCAGCCAAGACGGCCACTCAAGCGAGGTCTGTGGGATCCTGGACAAGGCCTCCAGGAACATTTATTGAGTTCACAAAAGCAGAACTGTGCTTGGTGGTCCCCTAGGGGCTTCCCATTATCAGCACTCACTTCTGAGCGCCTAAGTCAGCCTCATACATCGGCGTGGGCTTACAGGCCAAACACCTGAGCTGAAGTCAGATCTGGTTGCTTTATACAAACCAAATAGTATAGGCCTTTGAAAAGACTCTGGGTAAAGGTGCTTGCTGCCGAGCCTGACATCCTGTGTTTGGTCCCTGGGACCCACATGGTGGGATTAGAGAACTGACTCCCTTAAATTGTCCTCTGACCTCCACTTATGCACCATGACACACACACACACACACACACACACACACACACACACACACACACACACA